TGGGCAAAAAGTAACCTTTTTTTAGAGGTCTGCTCACAGTTTGAGCCCTGACACTTTTGTTTTTTAAAACTATTGGTTGTTAAAAATAAAATAAATAAACTAAAATCGAATATCCTTCGGATTTACCGGAGACTGGGAGGGGATGCTCATGGCAAGGCCGTAGTCGGTTTTCTATTGTAGGGTGAGACTTTTTAATTTATTGAGGTGGATGGACTGGCCGTGTCGTTTTTAATTTTAATTGTTGGGGCTACAAAGAAAGATTTAATTTTGTTGAGGGGCAAGAAATAAGGTTATTTTAATTTTATGGGGTCACATTGATGAATTTTTTGACGGTTGGATTATTTTGTGGTGATGGTTTTGGTTCTTCTTGTTTGCATTGGGAATCATTGCTGTGTGTTTTCGGCTATGGGGCTGTTGCGTTGCTAGGGGTTATATATTTTGGGGATGGAATTAGGAGGGTGAAGATATCAGTGATGCCTTTTTCCTGTTGTGATGGAATTTTCCGGTTGTGGGAAGGGAAGGTGTGGTCGGATAAACTTTTTGAAGACGGGGTTGACTATCTTGCTTTTTTGAATTTTTATTTTTGCTGCTGCGTCGAATTCAGTTGTTTAGTGGTGTCATGTCGTTGTCCTTTTTGATGTTCAGGTAGCATTCGTTTTGGTCTGGGGTTGAAAACTAGTCCTACCTTTTCTTGTGTTCATAATCGTGTTATGTCTTAGGTATATATGGTCTGGAAAATGTCGTTGCTCAAGGTCTCGCAGGAGTACGTTACTATCGGCTTGATGTAGCGTTTTGTGGATGTAATAGTTTTGACCTTTGTCTATGGTTTTGGGAATGAAGAATGGTGTCAGAGCGTATATTAATCGATTGTGCTTTTTTGGTATTTTCAGTAACTGGTGTGTGGTCCATAGTAAATTGGTGGTCAATAGTCCAGTCCCAAATATTTGAGCGTCTTTTTGTCGCCAAGGAATACAGTATTGTTATGCGGTATTGGTGGTTCGTTAATAGGGGTGCATCTATTTTGCCATGTGGAAGATTATTGCTTTGGCATTTTACTCGGGTGAATGGTGATACTGTTGTCAATGGCCTCGCAGTTTTGTTCAGTTCTTATGTTGTGCGTCTAGTCTGTTCATATGCCTATTTTGGGTTTTCGCCATGTTTTTTGTTTACATAGGCGAGGTAGTGCTCGTAGAGGTATTCGTCGAGCGTTGGCGTGGAGTGGGTATGTCGTTGATGAATAATTGAAAAGAGTTGTTGGGTAAAGGACGGCTGGCCTTGTTGGGACGCCGACGGGGATTAGGTGTGGCTGGAATAGGCAGGTCTGGTATCTGGACTTGGAGGAAGCGTTTGTGAGAAGTAACTTTGGGAGAATGGGAGTTACAAGAAAATTGGGGATATTAGGGTCTGATTTTAGTAAGAGAAGGTCATAGTCTTACAGAGTCCGAAGGCGTTTGAAAGTCTGTCAAGTAAGCATAATGCCTGTCGTTTCAGGTTTTGGAGTGTCTTGGCTACATTCATCGTCAGTCTGAGGGTTTTGGAGGGGAGCTGATTTGTTTCTCTGTAAATCCAAATTGTCTTTGTTATTACGTCTTTCAGAGTGGCGTCATACCGTCCGGTGTTGAAAGTTTTTCTAGAATCTAGCTGGTTGTGTAGTAGGCTTAAATAGTCGGTAGTATTGTTTGATGTTTTGGGGTCCCTTAGTTGGTTTGAGTATCATCTGTCACTGTTGCAGGTTTCCAATTTTGTCGGAAGTATGTCAGGTGAAGCAATTTGACGGCATTGAGAAATGGTTGGTTAGGTGGTCTAACAGCGTTTTCTGGTCAGGTGTTTGAGTAGCAGCTTTCTGTATTCTATTCAGAACCTGGCCGCTTTAGTCGCGTCCAAGGAGTTTCAGATTCGTTGCCGTACGTCTTTTGTCACTGAAGGTCCATGGTGTCGTGAGCTGCAGGGGGTACGGTTGAGTAGATAGGAAGTTTGAGCATGGCTTGGGTGGGATGTTGAGAATTGGGGGAGTGGGTTAGAAAAGTTTGTGGACTGGGAGGAGACAAAGCTTTCAGCAAATGTCTGTGTCGTACGTTATTCTGTCTTGCAGTTGATAAGAAATGGGCAGTCACGGTGTTTTTAGTAGTTTAGTTATTTTCGCATATGCTTTTGAGGCTGCTTTCAGGTTAACGTCACGTATAAGCTTTGTCCCATTTTTGTCTTTTCATGTCCTGAGCAAGTGCGTTGTTGTAGTTGTTTTGTTTGTTTGTACAATTTGTTTGTCTTCAGGTCGTCTCGGTCCTGTATGTTAAGTTTTCCAGTCCGTCGTTTGGTGTCGTGTTGGACGATGTCGTCAGGAGTGCCTTTGTTTGCCAGTTTTGGTAATTGGTTGGGTGATGGTAGCTTTAATGCGGAGGGAGCCTGGTGATGTGATGGGTAAAATGGTCATATTTGCTCGTTCTATTTGTGTTGGCGTGTGTGTAGGTCTGTAGTAGGTTTTGATTTTTTTTGCAATGAGTGTTCTGTAAGTGTTTCCCAGTTTGTTTGTTTTGAATGGGTGGTGATGTGGTTCGTGCTGTATGGGTGTGATGTAGATGGCAAAGATTGATTGGGAAGGTGGTCGGATATGAGTTTCGTGTCCGGGGGTGCGGAATGGAAACTGAGAGGTTGTTGTGTGAATTACATAGTCGAGTATGTTCGTTGGGTTCGTCATTGATGTAGTGTGTCGGTTCTGGGGGGACGGAGTAAGTTGAAGTCTCGGTCTGTTGAGTCAGGTATTCTAATAGGTCTTTTTCCCTGGTCTATTGTCACTTGCATGCCCCATATCGGTCATTTTGGCGTTGAAATGTCCTCCTTGCCAGTGGGATAGATTTGTATTTTTGGGTCTATGGATTTGTAGCAGTTCGTTTTCGTCAGTGTGCTTCTTTGGTTTATTGTAATAGTGACGGCGAATGTTGATGTGGGTCCTGTCCGTGTCCGATTTGCAACAGTGATATTTTTCACAGTCAAATCGTGTCCTATTGTCTGGTTTATAGTGTATGTGGTATTTGGGTCTTTTTTGATTATTATTCAGTGACTCCTCCTAGGGTGTGGGTTCGGTCGTTTCGGTAAGTGATGTAATTTGGGATATTGAAAGGATTGGGTGGGTTTGCAGCCAGGTTTCCTGTATGCAGCAAGGACGTTCAAGTTTTGTAGTCTAGTTACGGTATTGTATTATGATCAGGGTAATTTTGGTCCCTTAGTCCTCGCTGGGCGTTCCACGAAGTCGGGTCGAAGTATGTTGTTGTTTTCGTTGTCGTCCTTAACATACGCTTCGGCTAGTGGCTAATGCTGCAGTCAAGACGATTTGTAAGGATACTCCGGGTGTTTGAAAATGTTTATATGGTTTTGAATGTCTGTAACTAATTTGGTTGATGTCAGTTCCTCGATTAAGTCAAGTATTTCTTTGAATTGTGCCGGTGGTTGTCGTCGTGTTGTTTTGGTCTCGCCTGTCTGTGCTGTTGTTCTGCCTGCGGTTTATGTTAGCATAAAGTCTGTTTGGTTGTCATTATGTGGGTTGGGGAAGTTACAGTTGAAGTTTGGGTTGTTCGTAGGTTCAAAGTTGGGGGAAGGTGGTGATTGGTCTTTGTCTAGCTTGTCAAGTAGTTGTTGTCCTGTCTCTGTGGCGTTGATTGAGTAATGGGGGCAGCCGGGCCAAGAAGTAGGGTGGTTTCCGTCGGGCAGAGTTGTGGCATTTGAGGGTGGTAACTAGTGGCAGGTGGTCGTGTCATGTGCTCCGAAGGCAAGCGTTCCGCAGGTCCGAGGTCTCGTGGGCAGTGGTTTCATTCGTGTGTCGCAATTTGCTGTATCTTATTGCCATTTAATGGGCTCTATTGTGCTTTTGTAGTCTACCAGTTGGTATCCGGTAGTGAATTAAGTTATTTGTACTCGTCTTTTTTTTAATGTCAGGTTAATATGATGGTTTTGTCCCCGTCTCGAATGTAAGTCCTAGATGGGTTCAGTGTCATGTCTTGGTTGAGTCTCTGCATTTCTGGATCGTGGTAACAGGTACGTTAGTTGTAGTTTATTTTTTGCAGTTCCAGTTAATGTCTTAGTGTTTTCTTGGGGTAGTCTTTTAATAAAACAAGTCGAGTCTCTTTATTGTCTCAGTAGCTCTGTGGAAGTGGTATTCAGCGTTGAGCGTAAAGTATGACGTCCGTTTTGTTTCGTCATTTTTACTTATGTCCGAATAAAGTCTCTCCCATAATTTTTATGAAGCCATTATGGTGGTCGGTTGATGATGAGTTGCGACGCTGTGCATCTGGATCCAGTTGTTGTTCGCTGTCTGCCTTTGATAGGCCTCGTACTGATGCGATTTGCAGTCCCATATTTTTAAGTCAGGTGAAGGTTAAAAGTTCCCTATCTAGGCCTGGGCGTCCGTAGTCACTGGTCCCTTTTGGTCAAGCATTGGTGCAACTGTTCTGTTCTCACCTCTGTCAGATGGGATACGTCTGTGTCCCATCTGAAAGTTCCGCAACCATCTGAAGGTCCGCAGCAGCAGGGTCCGCCTGGAGCAGAGAAAAACTGTTGTCATGTGGAATAGCAAGGGACTTGTAGGAGGCAATGTTGCGTGCTGGAAAGAGAAATTCTCCTGCGCCAGGGTCGGTGTCGTGGTGGGATTGAGCATCCTCTCGCTTGTTGTCGTCGGCTGCGTTCCGCTGGTCCGTTGGACCGCTGTCTTGCTTCTTCCTATTGGTTCTACGTCCTGTCGCAGTCTTGGTCTTTCTTCCAGTAGCCTTGGATTTGTCATCAAAGGAGAGTTTAGGGAAGTGTTCGTCATCGTCATAGGTCTCGGCCGCACGTTTCTTCGAACTTTCCGAAGAAAACGGCACCGGCGTAGTCCCGTCGGTAGGTCCACGTAGAGGGCGTGGAGTCTTCGTGATCGTTCCTATGGTCGTCCGGATCGCCATTTGCTTAATGGGTAGGTGGCTGCTCCCGGAGTGAGGCCTGTCCACGCTGGAGATAAGCGTTCGCCGCTGATGAGGCGCCTACGATGCCGGGGGCGGAAGGCAGGATTCCTCCGCCATGGCGGTGTAGCGCTGCCGTGTTGTCAGCGCCAGGCGGCGGGCCCGTCTCTTCCCGCTGCACATCCATTTTGCCGAGGCCTGGATGGCCTAGGCGTAGAGTTGTTCCGAAGTCCAAGAGAGAAGACCAGTTTTAGCAGGGGTTGTCGTGATGACCAGGAGAGTCGACCAAGTAGAGACAGCAGAGTTGATCCTCCGGAAGAAGTATCCAGTTGTAGAGTCGGGTCAGTCAGTATCCAAGAGAGATGTCCAAATTCAAGCGGGGTGCAGCTGTAAAATAAATACAAGGCGTTAGTATCTGGTAAACCCTATGATTTTGGGTGCGATTATGAAACTGCCTGTACAATACTGTACTCTCAGTTTTTTGTGAAATTTTTGTTAGAGGGAACTTTTTGCCGGTTTCTCCTTCCCCCGGATAAACCGGTGATCGGAGAAAGATGGCGAGTGATTTTTCTCTATTGTGGGTTGATGGGGGTTTTGGGTTTATTTTATTTGGTGGTGAAAGGAGATTTTTTGTGATGGGAAGAAGGCCTATTTTTTGGTGAATGGGGACTAGGGAAGGAGTTTTATTTCTTTATTATTGGCCTTTTTGTGTGGGAGGGAGGTTAGATGGGTTGTTTCGTTGAGGGTGGTGGTTCGGTGTGATATTACGAGGAGTTGCCTATTGTGAGTGCGCGCGGAGGTAAGGTTGGGGGAGACTTTATTTATAAATTTTTCTCTGCAATTTTTACATACGTTTGACATTCCGGTATGAGTGAAAGTTATGATGGTGTAGGTCGGAGCTGGGTTTGTCAATGTTGATTGTCTGGTCCTTAGGGTTATATTATAGGAGATGGAGGGGGAAGGGAGAGGATATCTAGGGGGTGTCTTTTTCGTGGGTGGGTAATGGTCCTATTGATGGTAGGGTGATGTGGGTGTATGAACTTGTGAAAGTTGTCGTTTGTTAGGGCGTCAGTCACGTGTTTTAGTCCCGTTTCGTATATGTCTATGGCAAGTGGTTTTATATCGTTTTTTGTTTTAATCTCGTGGTAGCAGTCGTCTGGAGCTGTTCTAAAGTTAATTCGGATTATTCTATTTTCTAGTCTGGTCAGTTTGTTGTAGTTCGTCTGAAATGTCGCTGCCCTTGTGTCAGAAGCGTATGTCACGATGGGTTAAATGCATGTCTGGTACACGTAGAGTTGTGTCTTAATGTCAA